TTTTTTTTTTTTTTTTTTTTTTCTTTTTAGTATCTTGCATTTATATTAACGAAAACCCTTTTCTACAATTAAGGATTGAACTTTTTTGCTGCATTATTGGAGATTTCTATGTTTTTACTTGTAGTACATGTCTGTAAAGAGTTACTCTGAAAGAAACTGTATACTTTTAAGACATAATGGGAAATGTATCATCCTCGGATTACACGTGGTGCACTGATATTTTCTCAGAATAAAAATCAACTTCACTGCATTCCTATTAGATAGCGCTGCTCATAAACTATGCTTTTTACTATGTCATTGATATTTGTGTTTGATCTGCTGAGATGTGCAGAATTGAAAGCTTTTTAATCCTCCATGTCTAGCTCATATAATTTTTCTTTTCTGCAGGTCACCTGTTCAAGCTGTTAAAGATGTTGAAATAAAAGGGTCACATGATCTGAATCCAGGCGTAGGCTCTTTTATTTGGACTATTGTGTTACTCGTATCTATGTGCTGAGATTATTTTCATAGTTGAATTGGATACATTACTTAAACGAGTATAATTCAAATATATTGAAGGATCATCATGCAAGTGGGATTTTTCCCCTTAAAAGATATATTCACTCAGTTACTGTGAATATCACAATCATGACTTCCTCCTTCCCCATTACTTGAGAACTTCATTTCAGCTTTCCAGATTTATGAGGATGGGTTCTCATCTTTAAATTCTATTGCTTACTTACTAGGCAGACCTGATCTTATTTTCTTCTAAAGTTTTAATTCAGTTTTCTGTTTGCTTGGCAATTGTTGTTAGCGAATGGTATTATTCAGTTGCAAATTATTTGCTTATTTGACTTGTTAAGTTTATTCCTGATTTTGTGGAATTTTCGTATGCTGCAGAGTGAACCAGTGGACACATTTGATGGCTCAGGTGCTGAGTTGTGTCTCATGCCTGATTCAACCTTTACTGGTTTCAATCTTGAATTTGACGAAAATGACTTCCTGGGTAATGGAATGGACCAAGTGGCAGGTGTAAGGTATAATAGTACCTTATTGTGACACCTATCATTACAAAATTGCTCTATATCCTCACATGCTCAGATATTTTTTGTTATATTGTTTTCGATTTTGATGTTTCAGGTAATGGTGAAATTTTTCACTAGCAGACTTCAATTTCATGTATTTAAGAAATTTTACTGTTATTGTTTATGGCTGAAGCATATTTCTTTTTCAATTTGCTAGCTGCTGTACTTCTCCATTGTTGTTTTTCCATTTGTTTTCCTTTTTCCCCTTCTGGTGGAATTTATCATCTGTTTGTTATCAGCAGGGCAGAATGTCAAAAGCAGGGTATTAGTAATATCAGTCATGAAAGACCAAGAGGTTAGTCCTGTTTGGCCATTTTTCTAATTTTTTCCCCATAGACATAATTCATAAAGGTGCTCTGTCAGTCTCAGGTTGTAATCTATCCGGAAATGAGAGGATTGCTGTAGTCAGAGTCGACCAACAAATAAAGCCAATTAAGTATGCCGCTGCCTTTGCAATTCTTCTTAAAGTATTTGGTCTTTCTCATCTAACATAATTTTATGGTTCTTAGTGGCCCACATTCCTCCAGCCTCCAGGCCATACAATGTTCCAAATTGCCAGTAGAAATGAAATGTCCTCTTTGCAACTCTTTCTTCAAGGAGGCCGTCATGATTCCTTGCTGCCAGCATAGCTTTTGCCAAAATTGTGTGTCCATGCACTAATATGCTCTTTATTTACGATCAATGTCGCTAGACTCTAGAATCCTTAAATATTGATTTGAATGACTGATTAAATTGTTTGATGTAACTGCAGGTATCCGCCAAGTGCTTATTGAGAAGGGGAAGTGCGCAAAGTGCTTTTCAAGAAAATGCCGTGTGGAGGACCTGCTACCAAACTTCTCTTTGCGTCAAGCTATCGAGCATTTCCTTGAAGCTGAGATGCTCGATGCTGGTTTAGAGCACGCCTTGCAGAATTATGTGCCAGGTGCATATGATAAATTCTGTCACAATCTTTGAGGGATTTCTTGTAGAATGGCTAATTATTTTTTTGTCCTTTTTTTTTTTTTTCTGTGGGCTGGCGTGTGTTTTCTGTATAATCCAGATGGAGAGTCTGGAATTGAGGCTAGGGACTTTTCGTGTGCGCCTTCAGTTGTCCAAAAGGAACTGGAATTGCCTCAGTCCTCATCCGCAACTGGGAAAGGATCTAACCAAGTTTATAAGGAAGCGTTTTTTGAGCAACAATGTCAAAGAAATGTGCCAGTTTGTGCCTCCGGAATAAGGGAAGTAAAATCCGCTGTTCCATCACAGAAAGTCAATCAAATAGATGATATGAGTGGCTACTATTGTCATGATGGAATGCGAAGTGAGCCTGAAGATTTTGTGCCATCAGCCGACTTTCAAGGTGAAAATCAACCTGTTATTCCTCTAACTAATGTTCATGATGAAGGTACTTCTTTCTACCCCAACTTGCTTGGGACAAAAAGGCTATGTTGTTGTTGTTGTTGTTGTATAGAATATTGTGAATGCATAAAAAAGCATTTTGCAGTTGCCACCTTGTTAACTGCTTCCATCATTATAATTGTTAATTGCCGGTTTGTAGATATTATTGAATTATGCAGTAATCCAGTGCCACCTTGTTAATTATTCAATGTTCATAAGTTACAGTTCCCAGTGAACACGTTTTCTCTCTCTTTCTTGGTTCTTTGACATCTTCGTTTCTCTTGGGAATTTGTTGCAGCTGATTATAACACCAGGAGACGAGGGGGACACTGGATCGGATCTGGAGGTTAACTTAAATACAATAATGGCTACAACTGATTTTGGTTTTGATTTATTGTTTTCTCACTGCGTAATGCCTTATGTTTCAGGTGGAGAGAGAAATTTTATTGGTCCCTCTGGACATAGAAAGGTAATTTCAGTTACTACATATTGTAAATTCTAGTAGAAGCTTTCCAGATTGAAGCCTCTGATCTGTTAGTATTAAAAATTCAAAACCAAAAATATGTGATTTTGAGTAAATGAATATGACAATGACAAATATTTAACATGTCTTGTTTGTTCTTTTTTCTATATTCCCTTTCTTGTTTTTGATCTTTGTCTACTAGTGTATTAATGTGGAGCACTTGACAGTTTCTATTTTTTTTTTTTTTTTTTTTTTT